TTGTGTCTGTGAAATAAGTATTTTATTCACGTTAATTAAATGTGTCAGAGCTTTTGTAATTTTTCATCTTTATCGTCTGCGAAACTAAAGGGAAGTTTTTTATTTTTGCACTGGATGTTATTTCTTTTGGATAAATTCCAGTTGTATTCTACGTCCAAAATCAGTTTTATTAACGGAGAGGGATTTGTTTTTCTTGGCAACAATTTGCGATACATAACTCCGTATTAGACTTACGTGCATGTCGTGAATTTTTGCCATCACGATAAGAGCAAAACACTTACTTTTCGTGTTCCAATAATCCTTCACAAGGAATATTATTATCTTTAACTTTGCACTCGAATAATTGTCTTGTACAATATTCCAAGATTACGTTTTAAAGCCATGAATCCAACTCAACTCGTGCTTTGCTCTAGTGTAAATCCAAACAAAATTTAATTTATCTTAAGACATTTTGAATTTTATGGCTAGAGAAACCTTGTGGAGTGTTATTTTTATCTTATTCATGATTTATTAATATCTTTCCAGTTTTGAGTTTTTTTCCACAAAATATACTTTTTAACTAGTACTGCTTAATTGCAAAGCTCCAAAACTAATAGACTAGATTTCACTATAACTTCTGCTTTGTGGTTAAAATTAATTAATTTTTGGCTAATTTACTTATTATCACATGTTTTTGAAGATGAAATCAACATGTTTAACCTGGAAAATAAACCTACGTATTTCTTTGTATTTACCTAAATAACAAACTGTTGCGTACACATACGATCCGACGAAAACAAAATAATCCAGAACTAATCTTTTTCAATATTGTCTTTCCTTTTGTTGTTCGGAAATTGCATTTTAACGATCAGAACGTGGGGTTGTAATGATTAGTTTTAGCACTTTTAAACAGCAATTGTGTGGTTTCTATTCTTGTTACCTATTTTTAATTAGGGACATTTAGGCATGAATATACTATGTAAGTAGTTTGGTCGCGAATATACGAGTACTTGATGGATTTTAATTTCGCTAGTGATAAGTTGATAGGAGAATAATTTTCAATTTACGATGAGTTAAGAGTAAAAAAAACACGGGAATTGGTTTTGTTGGCTTTTTAAATGAAATTGTGCAGTTAATATTGTTGAAAAAACGTTCGAGTCTATTGGGATAACAGTATCATATAAAGTCGAAATCTTCGAACATTTCTCCTTTACGAGCTTTTTGTTCAGGACAAAAGTGGACGAAATGGAGGCTCGTCCTGACCCATTTGGCAATACGCCAAATCTTCGATCAGGTGTGTATTGGCGTCTTGTTACGTCATATACACGTCATAATCACAATATAGAATTAGGTGACGTCTTCTATTATTGACTTTGTGAAGTAATATCAATAAATTCTTTTAACTGCTGTTTCTTTTTTTAGTGGACAAACATGTCGTCACAAGGTTGAATTACAAGCCGATCAATTATTAAACTTGATCTTTGACGAATTTGAACTGGTGATTTGACACTTCCTTTGATCACTTCAATAGTTACAAAAAACACTAATTTTCTTTGATTGATGATAACTGTTGTTTATTTTTTGAAGCCATATTTTTGGGCGCTTTATTTAGGAATATCGAGCTTTTGTGAAACGTGAATGTTCTAACAGTGACAGTAAATTACACATACAGGCTGCTTCAACTAAGATTTTTTTTATATCTGTCATAACCACATAGAAATAATTAAAATTCCGTTCGTGAATAGTCAATTAAGAAAAATTGATTTTGTTTTTTGCTATGACGATAATTTTAGTGCATGAAAACTTGCAAAAGGACGTTTAATGTTGACATCCCGTGGAATGTTAAAAATCGCGAATCTAACGAACTTAAACAGGATGTTCTCAACAGCTGGTAAATGAGGGATATGCCTATTTAGGTCTTGCCTACATTTTAAATCTTCACCATTTGAGTTTTCCATCCGTTCGATGGTAGTGTTGCAGAATTAAACTAGCGTCATTGGTCCCTTGTGTATAATTTCTTGAGAATTAAATTACTGACTTAACGGACCTTTAAATTTAAATGCGTTTTTTAAAGTTGTTGAAGGATTCAAATGCCTGACAGAAATTAATAGTAAATAGAACTGAAATTTAGATATTGTATTTCTTAAATGACGCAACTGACATTTTCGTGTGGTCTGACTTGATGTTTTAGAATATTCAGAGATTTGGAATTTGTTTAGATGTTTAAGTATGAGAAAGGACAATGCGACTTTTTCTTTGCTCCTAGATAATCAGCTGTGTCTTTTGTTAGACATGAATGAAGTTTAATCTTCCGAACTTTGTACCGTTTGTAGCGAATAGAAATGTTATTCATTTGTATAATATCAAGTCTAAATATTTACTTTGAATTCGGCAAAGATGCTGGTAAGACAAAGTTTTTAGTGTTTACAGTTATCTTACACTTACATATTTTGAAGAACTGAAGCGTTTACTATCCTTTCAGCAGAGGGAAAAATTTTAATTTGGCGTTAAGAAGTTGGCAAGAAGTTTACTTTAATCTTCGTGCTGTGATATACGTATATCTATATGTCTTGTCGGTGTGAAATCATGATGTGATATTTATTTAGGTTACGTATTTTTAGATTTGAAAAACAAAATGTGTGATTTAAATGTGTCACTACATAATATGTATTTGCATATTTATTTCACTTAGGACCAAAGTTTGAAAGTACAGCAAGAATAAAATAAAAATTAATTTCTTGCAATTTGCATTGAAAATCTGTAAGACTGACCTCTTTACTTTTTCCACTTTTCGCCCTATCGGAAAATTGGAGACCCAGTACTTCTGTAGTTATAGTTCTCTTTTACTGTAAATTTACATAAAAAGTGCAAAGTTTATTTAATGTTTTATTGCAACTGTGCGGTTTGTTAATCAACTGAAACTGAAAAGAACCATGGAATTGTCAGACATAAAAAATGTTATTTCAAATATTTTATTTATTTAGTGGCATTGTCTTCTAACAATAAAGCAATAAACTATTACGTACAGTTTTTGTTCATCCACTTTTATCAGAACAAAAGTTTGTTTTTTGAATTTATTAATCACTCTGGAATATACTTGTCAGTATTTTACGTAAAATTGCACAATTATTTGATTTGCTTCAATTCCACAAAGATTTTGTCACTACTAGTATTGGCAGTAAGGCCATATCGACTGGTTGTAATTAAGATTCACTGCATCCATAAATTACAAAACATTAAACTTTCAATTAATTTATGGATTAGACTTAGCTGACCCACACATTGCTGAGAATTATTGTTGTTAATGACTATCAACAATGTAAGAAAAACAAATTCTAACAGAATTGTCGATCAATTGTTTATAATTTAATTATTTGCTGCTTTAAAAATGGATTTCGGCAATTGTGTTGTAGATCCAATTACGTTACATCGAATGTTTCAGGTGAAATTTTTTCCCAACATACCTATTTAAAAAATATATATAAAAAAAACTCAAAATATAAATTAAACCCAGTTCCAATCAGAAACTTTGTCACGAATTAAATAAGTTTTTTTTCTCGCTAATGATGTGAATTATGAAAAAGTTTTTATTCTGTGTGTAAAATTTTGACTTATTTCAAAACCACCCTGGTAGCTATTGATTGAAGCTTGATGCATTTTTATTTTGTTTTCCAGAAAACTGAGGGAGTCTCGATCAACATCACTGACCAAAACGCAATGTACATCAAGATGGTCGGTAAGTATTTGCTACTTTTCGTATGTTTAAATTATTAATATTAAAAACACCACTTTCGAAAAACTGCAGTTTGTGGCCGTGCTTGCATTTAGTATTTATTAAATGTGTTAAAAGCTTTAATATTTAAACGTTTTGATTAATAGTTGAAAAAGCTGTTGAAATTTCCTTTAAACTTTTCACAAAATGCGTCATATGTTTCAGTTTTTCTCTTTTAAAAGCTTTTTTTCGCGAACTGAGAACCCAATCCCTGAAATTGTGTCCAACATCTCTTCGTGCTTCGATCAAGCTCCGTAGTGATTGCCTTATTTGCAAGACGCTTCCATCGTCAGAACAAGGCCGCAAAATATAGGAGAAAAGAGGAACCTAACATCTTCGGTTTGTTGGATCGATAGCTTTATTACTGTCACTCGGCAAAGTGTTTATGGTTAAGTTCATTTCCCTCTCGAGACGATTCTTGTGTAATGACTTCGTGTATCAAATCCAAGAGCTTCCTTTAATCCAAACTTGTTCCGGACTCAGCTGAACTTGAAAGTTACTAGTTTATTTTTACTTTTTTGCGGAAATTTATACTGCTCGAAAGTATTACGAAAAATTCAATTGTAAGAAATTTTAATCGGGAATTGTAATTTCAGACTATTGAATTTCGTATAAGAATGGCGATTTATTGAAACTGGAAATGCAAATGCAAATGCTTAGTCGGAATACGTTTTCGTGACGAAAATAATGACCATTTTTTACACAATCTGTCATAATTTAATTATCGAAACTTATTCACTAATTTTTCACGCTGACACAAAAATTATAGTAATGAGGAAAGATAACTGCTATCAGCAGGATAACCAAAGTTGTAACTAGGGTTGATAATTGATGCGTTATCTTATAACAGGGATTATTACTAGGCAAATACACACATGTGCAGATTATGAAGTGCAGATAATATGAATTTTGCGGCAATACAGAAGATGAGAACTACGAAGGTTTTTACTTGTACTCAAAGCACAAGAGATCTAAATCAATTTTTTATTTAACGTATGTTTGAGTGACTGGAAATGTGCGCATTTAATAACAATTACAACAGTTACCCTGGCTCAGGTATGTCAAATTCAAAGTTTGTTCAAAAAATGCAATTTTTTGATTTACTCGTAACATAGATTATTTTGAACGAGCTTTTGATAGTTAGAAGAATGTTGGTATGCTTTTAAACTTTCTTATCATCTTATCATTAGACTAGATTATATTTATGGCTTATTAGTATTACATAACTTTGTGAAACTATATTTACATTTATTATTATTATCAATGTGTCAGGCTTATGGGATACAGAATTCCTATCAAGACCATCTTCTAATAACTGAAAGTAAAATAAACTATTTAATTAAGAAATTCAGTTCTCACTATTGATTTATTAAGATTAACTAGAAACATTTTAATTATTATTAATTTCTTTTCTTCAAAAACATGTGTATCCCGTTTCTGGACTTCAATACCGAACACATCCCCACTTGTGGAGGATTTTTGGGATCTGGTGAGATGTCGAAACATCTCAGTAGTTTAGCTATCGTCGTTTTGAGTTCAAGGAGGGCAAACTTTTGGCCTGAAATTTTATTAAATTGGGGTCGCAATGTTTTTTGGTACTTTACCGATACAATTTCGGGGTCCTGCACTAAAAGGAACGTAGGCAAAAGTGTGTCTTTCTCCCTGCTTTTCGGGTAGAAATCGATCAGGGTCAAAGACGTGTGGTTCAGGATAAACGTCTTTATTGTAATTCATTCCGTATAAAAATATGGAAATGTTTGTGTTTTTGGGAATTGTTAGTCCATCTGAAACTTAATTAGTGGAAATTTCTGAATAGGTTTTTTTTTCATACCGATAGTGCAGTCTTCTTCTAAACTTCTTTCAATTAAAGGCACAGGGGGATATAATCGATGGGCTTCTTTGATGACGATATCTAAATATTTCAACTCTTGTATGTCACTAAAGGTAATTTCTTTTTTATAGTCGGTGCCGAGGACTGAGACTAACTCGTCATAAACTTTTTTTTGAACATCTGGGTTCTGAGCGATTGCGTATAAGACAAAACAGATGGAAGTGGTGGTTGTGTCATGTCCCTTAAAGACATACAGCTAACTTAATATTAATAAACTTTCTATACCTACTTCAAACATAAATGTGTCTACTTCTTCTCGAATATCTTCATCACTTAAATTTTTTCCATTATCTGAAACCTCTAATAACATATCTAAAAGAGCAGCTCTCCTCTTAATTCCCTCTTCACTTATTTTTGGAGTATCTTGCAATAGTTTAAATTCTTCTTTTCTCTTTTTGATAATTGTGTTGGTGAAATCGTGTAATATTTTCAAATACTCCACATATTTTTTGTATTTGTCGGAAAATCGGAATATTAGAGGATGTCGCAACCATGCCGAAAAAAATCTCAAGGTAAAAATTTCAAGAAATCCTGTTACGGCCTCTACGTATTTGGGGTTGCATTTTGCTTGTGCATTTAATTCCGTACCAAAAGCTGTCTCTAAAAATAATACAAATCGTTACCAGATTATTTCAACCATTAAAAACTAACCACAAATGATATCTAAAGAACACAAATTAATTATCGAGTGAATTTCTATAGATTTGTCACTTTGTGAAGCTTCTTTTAACAAGACATCTAAAAGGATATTTATTTGTTTATTAAACGAGATTTCCAAGAAGTTTTCTAGGATTTTGAAGTGGAATGTAGGAGTTATCATTTTCCTGCGAGCTTTCCATTTAGACCCTATAAACATGCATTGTACAATACAATCATAAAAATTATTTTATTTACTTACTTATGCTTACTAGTAAACCATCTCCAAGCCATGGTTTGAAAAGATCGTAACCATTCGATTTATTTAAATGGATGTTTGAGTTTAGAAAAAATTCAACCATTTCTGGTTTTGTGATCAATAAATGTAATCTAGGGCCCAACCAAACTTTTATCACTGTGCCATATTTGCTTTGCAAACTCATAAATGATTGTAACAAATCTAAAGAAAAATTACTTTACTTTATTCCATTGCATCAACTGAGCAGCAGACTTTCAAAATGCAGTTTGTCCATGTTTTTATGAATTGAAATAAGAGTTTTTAAAGTTTTTTTTTGTAAAATGGTTAAGTACTCCAGCCGTAAAATTAGCGTCCAATTTGTACAAATTTTTTCACATTAATTGTCACTGATATAAAACATTATAATTATTTCTTAAAAAAAGAACAGTTTTTGTTCTCTCCTCCAAAAATGCAAATTTGGACAAACTTCTTTTTGAAAGTATGCTCAACTAGTTTTATACATACTGTTAATGTAGGCACGCGTGTTACTTGCTAGTATTATCGGTTGCATAAAATGCTAAACATTTTACCTCAATTGACTTTAATTTTTTTTAATTTGGTAATAAAAAATTTGGAGGCAAGAGGGAATAAAAAGATTACTATTTGGTTATTAAAAAGTAATAGACGCCCTGTTTGGTTAAAATATTTCTTAACTTTTGGTTTATTTTACGTCCAAAGGTCACGGATTTTAACATTCCATTTAGATTATTTTTAATAAACTATAATAATAACGATCAACAAAATGTTATGTGTACTCTAAGAGTTCGTGTCAAACAAAAGCTATGTAAAAAAGAGGAATCTGTGCAGTATGTGGTTGTGATTTGCGTAATTTAGTTTTAGCTTCTGTAACGAAAAATAGAAGAAAAAATAAAAGATTTTTAAGAACTCATTTATCCAGTATACAGGGTAATTCTTAAATAGACCGACAAAATTTGATCACAGCTTCCCAAGGATAAATGGAGACAAACTGTACTCTTTTTACGTTTATATATTTTAGGGTCAAAACCCCCTTGATCCGTGCCACTTACGGCGTTTATGAATTGTTGCAATGATTAAATACATTTTCATCAAATTAATACCATGGTTTCCACTACCTGTGCTAATACTATTTCAGAACACATCAGTGGCGTACGCTTTACATCAAAAATAACTTTAATAATTTTTTTTTTGGAGAACGGTTAAACAAAGATTTTTTTAAAATATTTTTTTCCAGCATGTTCTCATTTAATACTACCTATTTAAGAATCACCTTGTATATTGTTTTAAAGTTAATTACTATACAACTTTAAGATTACTTACCTACGGTTGTTTTGCCAATTTCATTACTGTTTCCGATTACGGGCAGTGGGGGAGGTCCCGGTACTTTGTTTAAACTATTAAACTTTGCCAACGTTAGGTACCACCACATTAAAGGAGTACATAATATTAGAGTTAAAGTAACAAAGAACGATACGACAAACATTGTACACGACTGATCCTTTTTAAATGTTTGGAGCTATTATTGCATTTATTGTTTATATTATTGATAGCCATGTAAAGATAAATCTTTTAATATAAATCATTAGTTGTATCAAGACAAAAATTTTATTTCCGTATTTCATGATGTAACAATTTTTAATATTTCGTGTTTTTACTAGTAAAAAACAATATACTTAATGAAGGTTATAAAACTATATAATTTCGATGAATTAATAAACGTTTGTACTTTTTTTTTATTTATTGAATAATAAAGAAACATCATCTACATTTAATTGACTACAGTCTATGACAAAATTGTTGCTTATTAAAAAACAAGTGCTTACTTTGCATGTCTATGTTGAAGTCGGATGCAAATTCCATTATAAGATTTTAGCACACCACCTATCCCTAAGTTTGGTTTGTAATTATGAACTGGCAGTATACGAAAACGTCGTACAATTTTTACGATTATACAGGGCGATTCAGATAAGATAATGAGCCTGACGATCTGGCGATGCAACCCAAAAAACAAATTTCATTTACGTTTTGATCTAATTTTAATTACGATTTGCATTTGCAATCCAAGTCATCTCATGTTGCTCTGATAGTGCTTTGACAAGCAATTTATGATTTATAAAAAAACTGTTTGCCTACCTTTAATGTTTCATTGTTTCATACATTTTGTATTGGGTTTACACCGAAAAGACTTCTCTAATTTCTCTATCATTCCGCGAGAACTGAATGGCATTAATAATCGTTTTCTGCACTGATGTCAGAGTGTCACAATATGATAACTTGGATTCAACTTGCAAATCCTAATTGAAATTGGTCAAAGGCGTAAATGAAATTTGTTTTTTGGGTTGCATCCCCAGATCGTCAGGCTCATTATCTTATCTGAATCGCCCTGTAGTTTTCATTTCAAGCATTGCAAATTTTTGTCCTAAAAATTAAAAATTCTAATTACTAAATAAATGAAAAACAAAGTCACTACCGATGCAATTCCGTGGACCAGCACTAAAAGGCACATAGGCATAACTGTGCCTTGATGACTGATTTTCGGGTAAAAATCTGTTGGGATCGAATTTTTCAGGATTAGGGAAGTACTGGGCGTTATGATGGAGGCCGTATATGAATGTACTGATTATTGTATCTTTGGGAAAATCGTATCCACCTTGAAAAATACATCTTTTTTACGTATACGAAACTTGATAAAGTCTTATTTACCCAAATTGCAATCTAATTCCAAAGGGCGTTCGATAAAAGGCACTGTTGGATACAGTCGCTGCGATTCTTTGATTACCATTTCTAAATATCTAGTGTCTTGAAGCTGCTGCATTGTTACGTCTTCAGAATCTCCAATTACTGATAAAATCTCGTTGTAAACTTTGTCCTGCACTTCAGCAAGTGCTAAAATCATGAAAGATGTTCCAGATGCCGTTGTGTCATGTCCCTCAAACATAAAAGTGTCGATCTCTTCTCTGAGATCGATGTTTGATAAAATGTTGTTATGTTCAGATTCGAGTAACATATCAAGTAGAGCAACTTTGCGTTTACTTTGGTCGTCCGCTGAAGTGTTTTGTTTAATATTTTTGGAAGATTTTTCTACTCGTCGTCGAATTATAACACTCTTTGTGAAGTCATGCCGAGTTGATAACAAACTTAAGTAAAAGGGGTATGTTTTGGAAAATTTAAACAAGACGTCTATTCTTTTCCAAGCCGAAAACGATCTGGCAATTAAAATCTGGAGAAAATTGCGAACAGCTTTCACGTAATCAACATTGCCTCCTTTTTGGGCTGAAATTTTAACGCCCATTGATGTTTCTAAAATTACAAAGTTAACATTTTGTGGGTTCGATTTTTTACTAACCACATATAATGTCGAGAGAGCACAGATTTATAAAAGGGTAAACATCAACAGATTCTTTACCCACTTCGCTGGATAATTTTTCAACAAGAACGTTCCCACATGAATTGAAAACTTCAATAAATTGATCGAGGATCTTAAAGTGAAAAGTTGGTGTAATCATTTTCCGGCGAGCTTTCCATTTTTTTCCTAAAATAAATTGATCAGCACTCTTTGTAATCCTATTTTTATGAACATACCGGTGCTTATCAATAATCCAACGCCAAGCCATGGACTGATAAGATCATAAGTACTTGATTTTGTAATGTGCACATTCGAACTCAGAATATTCTTTACCAAATCGGGTTTCGAAATAAAAACTCGCAACTCGTTAGCTATGTAAATTTTAAACACTTCCCAATATTTGTCGTAAAACTTCGTTAAATTAACAAATAAATCTGGAAACAAGAGCAATAGATAAATAAATAATTACTATAGCAATTACCTTGCGGCTTATTTCCCATATGAAGACTGTTTCCAATAATTGGCAATGGTTTTGGACCAGGTATGTGCGCAATCGATTTACATTTTTGCAAAACAAAATACCACCATACAAATGGAGCACAAAATAAAATTACCACTATTAGAGCGATCATTATTATAATGATATTTTGAACACTTTTTGTTACCGACTTGATTTGTAACTAATTCATATGCACATATAAAGATGAATTTATCTTATTTATCCCCTTTTCGCGGTGTATGAACTAGTGCTTTTAAGTTATTGTTATTACTGAGCACTTTTAGCATGAGTTTACAGTACTCTGCTATATGAATCTGCAGTTTTATCCTGCGCCTAGTTATTTCGAATGTTTTTATTAAGAAAAAAAGTGTGATATTTTTCAAATTATACTTATTAACCGTTATTATGTCAAGTTGATTGTTGACTAAAAAAAGGAACACAATTTTTTCCTAATTTTTTTGGTGATTTTTGAAAGGCTTTATCTCATCAAAAAATGATCGTATCTACATTAAAAAATAGATTTAATTTTTTGTCCGTATATCATACATAATTTGCAAGAACTGTACAAAATACAAAATTTTAAAAAAATCAAATTACTTAAATTGCCGTGAAATCTTTATTACTTCGTTAATGTGACGTTCGATCAACAACGAAAAATTTAAAATCATTTTAAAATTTCGAGTGAAGAAGACGAGTTAACATGTACTCCTTCTGACGCCACAAATCAAGTTTCGGTAGAGTTGCTTTAAAATTTAACCATTTTCGTTTTGTGATCAATAAATAAAGCCTAACTAAACTTTTATCACTGTGCCATATTTGCTTTGCAAATTCATTAGTGAATACAACAGATCTAAAGAAAAATTAAATGAATACATCTGTAGTTTTATATAATATACAGGGTGTTTCACGTAACTTTACGAGGCTTGCGCCTAATGTACGCACCCAGATATACAAAAGTCACAGAACACTGGATACAAAAAATACACATTTAATTATTTAATTTTTGGAAACCCATGACAGCAGTTGTCAAACTAATCACTGTTTCATTAATAGTCATAAACTACAGTTTTTCAGAAACAATTATCATTTGTTCTATAAAGAGACGGCATGAGTACGATTCTAGTTTATCTATCTTAATCACTAGCTAACTATAAACGTTGTAATTTTTGAAAGGGTGAACAAACTAGAGAAGATTATCCAATTTTTCAAAATTTGTAATCGAGTTCGTATTGAAATATGTATTATTGATTGCATCTTACAGGTGTAGGCCTCGTAAAATTATGTGAAACATCCCTGTACATAATGTACTACTAATGTAGGCACGCGTGATCCTTACTAGTTTTGTGAGTTGCATAAGGTATTGTCATTTTTACACCAAAAATTTTGATTATAATATTTTAAATTGTGGGTAATAGGCAGTAAAAAGGTTAGGTTTTTTTTACTCAAAAATAATAAGGGCCCTGCTTGGTTAAAATATTTCCTAACTTTCTGTTTATCATCCAAAGGTCACGGATTTTAATATTCCATTTAGATTATTTGATAACTAATAATGACTAACAAAATTTTGTTATTTTATGTACTCCACGCGTTAGTGTCAAACAAAAAAAAAGTAAAAAAAAGTAAAAATTGTGCTGTGTTGTGTTTTGGGTGCTTAAGTTTTAACTACCAGGTGAATAAAAAGTATTGAACCAAACGTTTTTTGCTTAAACTATTTATTTTTTTAAAAAACTAATTGATGAGTGATAAAGTACTATAAAAATGTGATGTTTTAACAAGAATAAAATTTTTCAAAATTTCCTTTTGTTTATG